AATATTATTTACGAAAAGTGGGTGCCCCATTGGATCCCTCCATCGGTGTCGATTACGCGTAGCTTCGGCCCTGTCGGACAGAGAGAAGCGAGCAGCGAAATTCATGGCGGCAAAACGTCGTGTACATGTTGCCGTCGAACATTTTTTCGATCTACTCGAAATGTATATCGTTCCGACTCTTTTACCGGGCCGTTTCTTCTTCAGAAATGTCTACAGAATCTGATCCTGGGTAGAGTTTTCGTGCCGAACAAAAAACTTTTCGTAAAAATACAAAAATATTGCGCAGAAACTGCTCACGTCGACACTTTTTTAAACTTTGACATCAATTTATTGCTATTTAGGACCGAAAACAATTAATAAATTGCATGCCACTATATTCGGGAAACTCTCCTCTATCTTTTAACACCAATTAGAATTATTTAAAAAACTGAGGGTGATGGAGCAATTCGGTTTTCGGATTCTTGTTCAGGGAGTGAAGCTCTACGAGAATTTCATAGTGGCTATAGGAACCCAAAAATCGTGTCGAACAGTGTAATCGATCGGTGTGGAAATCGTCGGTGGAAATCGTCGGTTGAAAATCGGCACTCGAGCCCGATTTCGGCCTCTCAGACGGCAGATTACGTCGCGTTACGTCGTTCTATAACTGCTATGTGCGTCGACGTATATTTCATTGGCGTCGGCGTATCCAGAGGCCGACGTTAAACGACGCCCCGTGTACCCAGCGCGCGATGCATCGACGAGAGTGCTCGTTTAAACGAACAGAAACGGCAGGAGCTTGGTGTCATGCTGTCCGAAACGGATTAGCGAGGACGCTGCGATGACAAATGGCGGGCTGTTACGCTCGCGAGCCCTACATGTAGAATTGTTTCGGGTTTTCCATTGTCTCGGTCGGCCTGCGCGCGGCTGGCCCGCCGTTTTCAATAATCTTCTCACGATGCAGCCTGAAAATTGAACAACAAAAATTATTCTCGATGCGTTAATCGGGCTCGTCACGATCCGAAGATCGTTGAAAAACGGATCACCTTGCCCAGTTTGCTTCCGAAGAGAGAATTCACAGCAATGAACAATGATCTAGACGGTTCTTTTCAAAATCATTATAAACGAAAACCGTTTAATATTTTTCGAAAGGTTTTCTTTCAAAGCGTTTCTTTCTTTCGTCGCACGTTGTTGTGAATTTTGTCTCCGGATCAAATCTGTCGATCGTTGTGTCCAAACATTAAAAATACAGAGTATCGTAGTAACCAATTTGTTATTTAGTTTTATAAGAATTGTAGAAATAATAGTGGGTTTTTCCTTGAAACAATTATTTCTGAACATAAAACCTGTACAGATATTTCGAGTTTTCGAATCGCGTGGAATCTAGCGCTAAAACAGCGAAGGTACTCGATGGTCAAGAAAATAGTATGATTTATCCGAACATTTATTTTTACAATATTCTGTTATCCAAAGGTTCTATTATCTAATCGTTGCATTCGATTTAGATACATTATCGCCAAGTAGTGAGCTCGAATGAAATTTTTCGATAATAGAACGTTTCGCTATCACGATGTTACAAAAATAAACCTTCGGATAAGAGAATATCTACTGTATTATTGTAAGATCGAATAACCTCCATCGTAACGCATTTTGCACCAACAACGGGCGAAAGTGCATTTACACTAATTTCTGACAAAAACGTTTACGTTTATCCAGAGCCATCGAGCGATTCGACCGCCTAACAGTGTCGACTTACATCGACAAGATTCGAACGGAAGAATGGGGACATGTTCGATTTGGGTAGATTAGAAAAGGAAACACATCGAG